GCAAATAAATGTGCGTGCGTATGCATATGTATCCATATATATTAAAGAAGAAGCTAAAACAGAGTTTTCGTGTCTCCTTTGTGTGGATGTGTTTGCAATAAATTCATTTACGTGGGAAATGCCACACCAAGAAACCAAATGTGACTGAGAAAGCCTCCCTCTACCACTGAATCGCTACGGAGGCTCTTTGCTTTGAGTTAGTGTCTTTAAACAACAATCATTTTATCTCGGCTCCTTCACTCCACACTCTGATGAACTGGTTTAGGGACAACAGATAACTCTCAAGTGACCTCTGCCCTCGACATAGTTGAGGGCACACAATTCATTTAAGGAATGCATGTCATATATTTACAAAGAAATGTGTAAGTTTTAATTACTATTTTGTGCACAGCCGTGGTTCGGGAGGGAGTCCTGCCTTGAGTGGGGCTGTATTAAAGTGGGTTTCTCCTCTGTCTTGGCACAAATGAAGGGATCAATCTATTAATGGAAATTCTATCACTCCGAGTCATACAAGAAAAATGATGGTAAGTTTCATACTGCATAACAAAAGCCCCACATTAAAAATAAAGAATTCAAGGCTGCTATCGTGTGCAAAATTTGAAAATCACATTACATCCAATTCAATAAATATTCATTGGCTTCCTACTAAGTATTGGGCCTGAGGATGCAAATGGGCTTGGAGTCCGTGTCCATCAGTAAGAAGAGCATAGGTTTACACAGAACGCTCCATCATCTAGGGTCCACTACAGTCTTAGAAATGCCACTTAACAAGTGGTCTCCATAGCATACAAGACTCACTGAGTGATTGCTCCTCTCAGGGGTCTGTTGTGAGCTCCGCTGATGCTCCTGCTCTTGCTTCCACAGCTGAAGTTTGACATTTTGTTGGCTGGATTTTTCTGTTCTTCCCAAGAGGGCTAACCTGGGCATGTTTTCAGTCCATGGTAGAGACACACACAGGGGGGAACCAAATTCAATCACATGAGTGCTTCCCAAACTCTGCTGGTGTCACATTTACTGCCTTCACCTTGGCTAAAGGTGATATCCATGAGTCCAAATAAGGGGCAGCGATGGGGTGGGAGAGGCAAGAGCAGGGTAAAACTGGATGGCAAAGGTTCTGGACACAGGCAGAGATGAAGAATTGGAGATGGTTTTGTAATCAACTTCATAGAAACAGACAAGCACATGCCAAAATTTTGTAAATCAGCATATTTGAAGAGGAGGCAAAGCCCAGTGGGGTATCAAGAGCAGAGCAATGCATCCTGGGAGACACGAGAACATTATGTCACGACTGAGTTTGGAGGACAGATGTGCCTAGGTAAGAATTATAAGACGTGGTTAGTCCATAAACCATAAGGCATTGGGCCAAAAGTAAAGCCCACAAGTATTACAGGAACTTGACTTCAAGTCCAGTGAGCACACTAATCCTGCAGACCTTGGACTTGGTGTCTAGGTCATGAGTAAATGGGATGCACTGATGAAACCTGCTTTAATGGCATGTGGTGTGTGTGTGTGTGTGTGTGTGTGTGTGTGTGTGGCCAGGATGGTAGGGAAGGCATCACCCCATGGGCCTGCCTGTTGTAGCAAAAAGGCTAACACGTGAGCTCAACCTTCCTTCACACCACTCAGAAAGCATCTTGAATGAGCAGCACTTTTTGAGTATGACAGAAAAAAAGAAAGAAATGAGTGTCTCTTTAAGAGAGCAGTTGGGGCAATGCTTTGGGCTTGGGAGTCTGGAGACAGTGGCATGAGATTGATTAGGTGTGTACATGTTGGCTGGGAAAGCTGCAGAGAGGCGAATGAAAGTGTTTGACAAGATGAAAGACTATTCAACATGTTAGACAGCTGCCTGAGTGGAGAGATCCATAACAGCGCAGTAAAACACACTCCCCAGTAAACGATACCTTCACAGAAAAAGCTCCTACCAGTGAGGTCACACAATCTTTGTGCGACATGACAGGTTTTGCCAAAGACTGAAAGCAGAGTTTCACACGCATGCTTCGTAGTATTTGGGTGGCGATCCACAGAGGTGTGTGGGACTGTGTGGGAAGATGAGGCTGAACTGTGATGCAGAAAAGTCAGTGGTGGCATAGAGATGGAATGCTTTGGGGTCTGGAGTTGACAGGAAGGAATACTGACCAGGGGTGAATCTCTGCATAATCTTGGAGCGAGGGCTTAGCATCCATGGATCCCACTCTTTGCTCACTGGTAGAGGAGAGAATGCATTCATGGTATGAGATGGCAGATGTCCTGACAGGCTTCCTGGAGTGTTTCAGTTGTCTACTCTACTATTAAACAGAAAGCCAATGGGTGTCTCACTGAGCTGAAACCAAAATGGCCTCAGGACTGTGCTCTTCCTGCAAGTGTGAGGAGAGAGACCAGTATCTTGTCTTTTCCAGCGTCCAGAGATGATCTCCCTTCTTTGGCTTGTAGACCCTTCTCCCATATTTAAAGCCATATTGGCTTCACTGTGATTGTCCTCCCTCTGACTCCAGCTAGAAATAACTCCCAGCTTCTAAGGAGCCTTGCAACTCCATTTGACCCACACAGGTCATCTATAGTAATCTCCCACTGAGATCCTTAACTCAATTATATTGCAACGTTCCTTCGCTGTGTGAGATGGCACACCCACAGGCTGCAGGAGTGAGACAGCCTTGGTGAGAGAAAAGTGTTACCCTGATGGGCCACTGGGTCTACCTCCTGGTGTGTGTTAGGTCTTCCGAGAGCCAGATGACAATGGTAGTGACACCCAGGTAGATACTGAATGGATCAGTTCATAAAGGGCTGAGAGCACATAGACTCCACCTTCAGGATGTGCTCCCCACCCATCAGCTGACCCTCCCTTTGCAGCCCTCCCTGTATGCAGGCTCCACCTTCAGGATGTGCTCCCCACCCATCAGCGGCTCCCCTCTTTGGTGCCCTCCCTGTGGAAACCACTCCCATCTCTATCCTGAATCCTAGTCCTGACTCTGCCTTATAACAGGCTTCCCTTCACTCTACAGCTAAAGGGATCTCTGGAAAACTCACTACAAGTAGGTCACTGATCTACTAAGACAACAGTGTTCTCCACTTTCCAAGAGATGTGTAGTAAAATTCCCAACTCCCTCCTGTGAGCCACAGGCTTGGCACATCCTGGCAACCCCGGCCTTCGCCCCCACGTCTCCAACTTTACTCCATACTCCCCATTTCCTTGCTTATGCTAGTCACACTCAACTTGTCTTTCTCTTGAACACAATCCACTGCTTTTCACTCCAAACCTTTGCAAACACTAACCCCACCCCTTTGCAACCCTCTTTTTTATCGTGTCCCCATATTGTCATGGCTCACTCAGTCTTAGGTCAATGATGTCATTTCTGCTGACACCAATGTCCGGTGACTTTGTTAGTCCCTTCTATCTTATTTTGTAACATAGACTGGCTGGCCCAAGCATTCTCTCATCTCTGCCTCTGCAGTACTGGGATTCCAGGCTCTCGTTGCCATGCTCAGCTTTCAACATGGGTGCTGGGGACTGAACCCAGGTCCCCATGCTTGTGTAGGAAACACTTGACTAGAGGACCCACATTCTCATCCACCTCTTTTCTTTTTTACAGGCAAAGAACTCATGAGGCAGAGGGAAAGGATCTGAGAGTCAAACAATACACAAGACTGGCCTTTCTGGCATCCAATTTGCAGGGGCAAAATGTAGCAATGGGTACCAATACCTCTACTGATGCTGGAAGAGATTCCAAGGTTGTTTTAAAGAACAATAAATAACTAAACAGGGAGTTCTTGGAAACAAACGAAAAATTTGGAATACTGCAGTCTTTGGAACAGTGTTTCCTTTCTTCCTCCTGTTATTTTATCTCACAGGGCTTTAGTTTACTCTATTCCTGTGTGTACTTTTTCTTTCTAAAACACATCTATGTTTCCAATGCTGCACGGGACCCCTTTTCTCGGTGCTCTGCTAAAAACTGCACCCTGTCCACCCAGCAACCCTAAAGGTGGCATGATGACTGTCCCAATTTGCAGATGAAGAAACAGAGGCACAAACAAGTAACACTGTATGCCTAGGGATGGTTTTAGCCACTGCTACCACTCAGAATCACTTAGGCCTGTTTTCATACATGCCCTCCTCAAGGAGACAGTGTGTGTGTGTCCCCGAGGCTGTGGTTACAAACGTCATCCGTTGTTCCAGCAGTCTCAATGTGGACACAGGATGGTCTGCTGTGTGACTTTCCCTGAGTCACCTAGAATCTCTGACCTTCAGTGTCTTCATTATCAAACACCTTTCACCTAGCAAAGGGGTAGAGGCAATCAAGCTTACCACATCTCTGGTCCACAGTAGGCATACAGCAAGCATGCTAGCTAAATTATCATTTAAAATAGAGACGATCCATACCGACATGATGGATATGTAAAAGGGAGATTTGTTTTCCTGGGATTGGGCTCTGCTAACAAATAGCACGTCCCAATCTGAGAAATGCACAGTATTCATGCTCTTGTGCTGTTTGGTCCTGAATTTTTTATCTCCCAAGAATAATGACCCAAGCCCTGGGCATTTCCAGAGGATTAATGACCAGCAGGATTTAATGACCCCAGCTTCAGCCTAGAGCCATCCCCCATTCCCTGGGTCCTCATTAATCCCAGGTAGGCCAGCAGCCTTTCTTCTCATTGCTACAATCATGCCCAAGTTCAGCTCTGCAGCAAGGAGAAGGACCACTGGGACCCTCTGCCTCTGCTTCAGTCCCCAGCCTGCTCCAAGCTCCAGCCACCGGCTCATTTATTTACAGGGGCATCCAGACAGTAATTAAAATATGCTAAGGAGGTCCCCTGGTCCACTGCAACTGGATCCAATGATGAGCCGTCTGTGATACACGGACCCCTCCCGCCCCTCCCCTGAATGCACACATATTAACTTTTAGGGCGGCAGCTTGCATTGCTCCACATGTTATGTGGGAGAATTTCATGAGATTTTAATGAGTTTGTACCACTGTGAGGGAAAGCTCACAAAGGATCCATGCAAATTGCTTTGTCTCGTGCAGCCAACCCAGCATAGTGATGCGCCTCTCTGTCTGGCTTCTGGAAGGACGGAGAGATATGCTGATGTATGCACACTGGCCCCTGAGCAGTTTTGCCTGCAGGAGAGCAAGGTGAAGCCAGAGCTGCCAACACACTTCCATCTGCAAGATGAAACCCCCGGAGGGATTTTTCCATCCAGGAATTCCCACAAGGACATCTGCTGGCCAGGATGGCAGACCTTTTGTGTCACCAACATCCAGGTACCTCCTACTTGCTACTCAGTTTTTTCATCTGTCCAATGGGCTATAGGTGGTAATCCTCCTATCTCTGAGATGACTTCTGCTGGAAAAATAAAATGTCAATTCCAATTAATGAGCTGATGGGTGAGTCTAATGTCACCGTCCATTGGCACAATCATCAAATCGGAGAGGAATATGAAGGGATGTTAATGACATGGCCAGCAGGGGTCAGATGCCCTTACTCATCTCCCCCATTTCTTTTTAAAATTTCAGTGTGTGTGTGTGTGTGTGTGTGTGTGTGTGTGTGTGTGTGTACACATGCATTCATTCCTCAGCACATCAGTGGAAGTAAGAGGGCAACTTGTGGGAACGGATTCCCTATTCCTAGCTTATGGGTCCCGGGAATTGAACTCAGGTCATCAGACTCAGTGGACGACACCTTTACCTGCTGAGCCATCTTGCTGGCCCTCCCCATGTTTGTGACAAGCAGACCGGATCTTAGGAAGGTGGGTCACAAACAAGGGGGAATGCGAAGAAAGGGATGTAGGGTCATGCTTTCTCCTTCAGCACACTGTAGGAATAACAAATTTGTAAGGACTTGCAGACTGAGTGAAAATCCACAGGTCCCAAAGACAAGAGACCCTCTCTCTCTAAAAAATAAAATAAAATAAAATAAACTCTTGAGAAACCCTATCTTAAGAGAAGTAGGTGTGGAGTGATGGAGGGGGACACCCAGTGCCCTCCTCTGGCCTCTACACATGCACACAAGTATGTGTGCCCACACATACCTACAACACACACACACACACACACACACACACACACACACACACACACACACACACACACTTAGAGAGAGAGAAAAATAGTATGTGTACATGTTTTATCAAAGTTTAAGAAAGAAAACAAAGTACCCCACCAGCCCCAACTACTCTCCAGGTCACCCCCCAGGCCATTCTCTAGGTCACCCTTCAGGCCTCTCTTTAGGCCACTCTCCCACGAGTATGTGACCCTGTGTGGCCCTTCCCTCACCACCAAGCCCTGTGCTCACTAAATCCTGAGCTGTCTGGGCACAGAGAACACATCTTGTTCCTCTCTTGATCTCCAGGGTCTACCCAGGAATGGACAGGGCCAAGTACCCTAGGTGTGGAGTATCTGTGAAAGTCAAGGAATGCCTACTGTGTTTTATCTCGGTGAATATCAGAGGTCAACCCTTTGGCATGGGTGCTATTAACAGCTGGTGTGTGGCTTCTGGATGGCCTTAGAAAATCAAGTCAATGATGAGAAGAAGAGATGTCCTGTATCAGTAATGCCATAAGCATCAGTAGAGATGCAATGGTCCTCTTTTTTTCCGTAAGAACCTTACACATAGTCTGTCTGGCTCCATCTGAGAAGAGGATGGAAGACCTCTGAGTACTTCTACACAAACCCCCTTCATACGCTGACATTTATTTAATGTTCCATGTGCTGGTATTAATAGACAGTACTTAGGGGGTAATTATGTCAGGAGCCCCATGCTCACAGTTGGGATTTGAACCCCTATACAAGAAGATCAGTAGAACCTTTTGCTTCTCCCACCATGGGAAGCCTCAGAAAGTACCATCCTGGAGGTGAGAATCATCAGCTACCAAACCAATTAGTGCCTTGGTTTGGGGGCTTCCCATACCATATAACTATGAGGATGAAGACACAAGTATATTGTGTGTGGATTAACCCATCAGAGGTATTTGGTTCCAGCCATGTTGGACACGTACAGATAGAAGTTGGGGATGGGCAGACATTGTCCTAAGTGCCAAGTATCTGGAGAGCTGTGCACCTGCCTTTGACACGAGATGTCCTGAGGCTAAGCTCTAGTCCCTTTCCTGTAATGTACATGCTATCACCAGCATGTCTCTTGGTCTCCCCTTACTCCCTGCAAACTCTCAAACCCCAGATACATTCCGCACCAAGTCCCAGTGATGTATTTACACAATCCTTTCAAACCATTGTCTGAATTTTTTTAACTGTCAAGAAAGACCATTTTTTTAAAGCTGAAGAGCCAAAACATAGAAAGAAGGTCAACTCTTCCAAGGTCAGGCTCAAAAAGCATCATTGTCTGTTCTACTTCTTCCCAGCACCTCTCTCTCTATCCCGCCCCCACCCCCAGCACTTGCTACGACCTTCTAGCTGTACCCATCCCAAAGGCCTCCACAGCCACAAATTATATATATTGTTTAGCTGAGTCCTTGGGTAAATTTAAGTCATTGTTTGAAATATACACCGTCTTCTGTTGCCTCTGCAAAAATTTTCGGTCGATTAAGCAACAATAATGTGGATTATTCTATGAGTACCTTGGGATAGTTGCCCAGAATACTGTATATAAATCCAATTGTATCAAAGTCAATTAAACCCTATTGTTTCTAAAAGTCACCTGTCTGACTTGGGGGAAAGTGGGGATGAATGTAACAGACATAACAAGCGCTGAAACTAAAATCCAATCAGGTGGCTGGTGCTTCTCAGCTTGGGAGGAGAGGGATTTGGGGGGGGGGGGAGCAGATCTTGGAAGTTGGGTGAAAAGCTTCCTGGATCATTCCGAGTGCCAAGGGTTGCTTGCTGATGGGGGCACCTAAAGTTTAACCGCCCTGAAAGTGAAGAAGAAGGAGACAGAGAGTGTTCTTCTTGTCAGGTTTGGTGCAAATGATAGAAACTTGTCAGCCCAACTTCATGAGAGGGTGCTGGAAGTTGAGATGTTCAAGCCCACAGGGACAGCCTTCTTCATCATCTTCGTCATCTAGCTTCTTTCTTTCTTTCCCTTTTTTTTTTTTGGTGTTATTACAGAAGAAAATTATAACCATAAAAATGTCCAATTTAGAAAAAAAGGTGCCACTTTAGCATCATTTGCATAAAAGCTGTTACACACAAATTGTTATAAAGACAAATGTGCAGTACCCTTGTTCAAATTGCTTATATCTCTGCTGCCTAGTCTCCAGCGACATAAAGGCCTCTTCAAAGTGAAATTCATTCTCAGGTAAATAAGCTGAAAGCGAATCTTGCATCTTGGAGAAGATGTGAGTGGGTGCTTGTGTTGTCTTAGCTCTCAACAGCCCAGGTCGGCACCTCCTCTCCGCCCCCATGTCCCTGCGGGGACGCGGACAGGCTCCTCTGAGGGTGAAGGCAGCTTGCTCTTGATGGAACCACTGATGTTCCAAAGCTTCTGTACAAACAGAAATAGGCAGGGCAGGGTTCTTGAGCTACGAGGATACAAGGAGGCTCCTTTTGTGGGATAGATTCCAGTGTGTGTGTGTGTGTGTGTGTGTGTGTGTGTGTGTGTGTGTGTGTGTGTGTGTGTGTGTGTGTGTGATAAAACAACCTCCGTTGTCTTTGCTCAGATTCTGTCCACTCTAAGTGTTTTGTTTGTCTGGTGGTTAGTTGGTTACTGATTTTTTTTTTGGGGGGGGGGCGTGTTGATGTTGGTTGCTTGGTTAGTTGGTTGGTTAGTTGGTTGTTTTTTCTATTCTTTTTTCTTTTCTCTCTCTCTCTCTCTCTCTCTCTCTCTCTCTCTCTCTCTCTCTCTCTCTCTCTCTTTGATACAGGGTCTCTCAACTGGCCTGGATATTCCTAGCTAAATAGGCAGATGTCCTAGAGAGTTTCTGTCAACTTGACTAGAGCCTAACTATATCTGGGAAGAGGGAATCTTAACCAAGAAAACACCTCTCTCAAATTGGCCTGGAGGCAAGTCAGTCCCACGTTTTCTTGATTAATGATGATGACGGAGGGCCCAGTCCATTGTGAGTAGTGATGCAGCTGATCGTGTAGTTCCGGATTGTATAAGAAGGAAAACTGAGTGAGCCATGAGGACCAAGCCAGTAAGCAGCATTCCTCCAAGGTCTCTGCCCCAACTTCCCCCAATAATGGAGTGTGGCCTGAGTGTTGTAAGCTGAAATAAACACTTTTCTCTTCAAGCTGCTTTTGGTCATGATGTTTTATAGCAGCAGTAGTAACCTAAATGAAGACAATATGCTAAGCTGGTTGTCTAGTGACCTCAGGGGTCTACCTGCCTCTACTTTCTCAACACAACGGTTACATGTACAAACCCCCACGCCTAGGTTTTTTTTTGTATTTTTTTTATTAATTAAATTTTTTCATCTATTTTACATCCTGACAGCAATTTCCCTTCCCTTCTCTTTTGCCATTCCCTCCCCCACCTCCTATGTGCCCGCACAATTGACTCCTCCTGTTTCTGTTCAGAAAGGGACAGGCCTCCCCATGGGTGTCAACAAAGCATGAAATATCAAATTGAGGTAGGACTAAGCTCCTCCCCTTGTACTAAGGCTAGGCAAGGCAACCCAGCATTAGGAGCAGATTCTCAAACGCCAGCCAAAGTGTTAGGGAAAGGCCCCATGCTCCCTTCCTGGAGTCCCACACGTAGACCAAGCTTCACAACTGTCACACATATGGAGAGGGCCTAGGTCAGTCCCATGCAGGCTCTCTGGCTGTCAGTCCAGAGTCTGTGAGTTCCTATGAGCCCAGATGAGTTGTTTCTGTGGCTTCCCTTGTAAAAATGCTGAACACTTGATGAATTTTCATGTCATCCTGCACAGAGGCCTTGCTGATAATCTTTTGTATTGTTCCAGTTTTAGTATATGTGCTGCCGAAGAGAGCACCAGGATTTTTTCAATGTGGATTCTGGGGTCAATCTCAGGTCCTCACACTGGCAAGTCAATCATCGCTCTACCTACTAAGCTATCCGCTTAGCTCAGACCCCTTCTACCTGGGACGATCTTCTAACTCATTCTGGAGAGCTACAGTGTTTGCTGCAGTCATTCCTGCCCACACTTGGTCACGGCCTGCTTATTCTTCTGCTCTCAATGTTACTTCCTAACTAAGTGATGCATGTTAATTGACATTAATTATTTCACTTACTAATGCAACTTATTCCCCAACTACTTTACCAGTGTGGTCAAGAACATGACATGGGTTTGCCCTGGAACAGGGATGGAGAGAATGCAAAATGTAATACCTATGTGCCATGATCAGCCCCC